TATAACTACAAGCATGAGTGCGTCAAACCATGCCAAGCTGCAGTCGAATGGGTCGCTGCATCGATGAAACCGGATGTGTTGCAAGCAATGGGCGGTGTGGCTGCCGAATCAACGGCCGATGCTATATGGATGGTGCCAGTAGACCAGGGCAACAGTGCTGGCATTGTGACTATGGCAGTGACCCCAATGACTGGTCAAAGAAACCTAATGGGACCGAATGTGATGACGGAAATACCTGCAGTTACCAGGATCAGTGTGTCTCTGGAGTGTGCAAGGGAACAGCATATGAATGCCCTCTCGGGGGACCCTGCATGGCTACAAATGAATGCAATGGAAGAGGACCACCTCACGCTGTGAAACAACGTACAAGTCAACATTATGTTGGATGCAAAAGGATGCCTGTGATCATCAGACACATTCTGCAGGAATGAACTGGCTGCCTGTCCACACACCTCTCTGAAACCGCTCACTGGAAAAGCAATTGAAGCCGGCAGGATCACCCTTTTGATTCCTGGTAGCACTAAACACCTTCCAACTGGCTCAATAAACCATAGGATTGGTTCTGCATTTGGACAATTTTTGGCAAATGAAAAGTCAGTTACGGTGGAGCTGAATGGCTTCCGTGTACCGTGCGGAAACATTGCATTCAATCTACAGCTCTTTAAGATGGCAAGAGGTTTTGCTATATCCTCAGATGGTGATTTGGTGAAATTGTCAAATGGGACGTATTGCAGTGAACACCTTTGGTAACAGCGGCTCGACTCTCACACTCCAGCTAAAAGCTTCATTCCAGCAGAACAATGTCTACAGAGTCAGGGTTTCGTCCAGAAATGTGCGTGGGAACACTCTTATTGAAGACTCACTTCATTTCTCATTGATAGAACTCCGCCATGGTTGAGAGGTAACATTTGTGATGGAGAGAAACCTCAATCGAAGCAAATATACCAAGACACCGACTATCAAACCGACATGACTTTCCTGGCTGTCCACTGGCCTGTCCTGAATCTCAGAGATAATGAGAGCGACATAGAAAATTACAACTTGTCCATTGGAACAGGCCGTGCGACATCTGACGTACATCCTGGCCAAAAATGTGCCATTAGAGATCTGACCAAGGGCCAGTGCAGAATCGGAGGACTCCATCTTACCAGTGGAACAAAATACTATTCAACATTGGCAGTTGAGAATCAGGCTGGCATGGTGTCAAAATTCACGTCTGATGGAATAACCATAGATAATTCATCTCCTGAGACAGGTCAAGTATTACTTAGCCTCCCAATGGACCTAACAAACAGGTTTAAAGTGCTTAATACAGACAGTTTGCAGCTATCGTTCCAGATGGAGCATACTCGAGATCCTCAAAGTGGCATCAGCTCACTGGAGTGGCAGATTTGTGATACAACAAGCCAATCAACTGTGTGTTCCACAAATGGATTTACACCTTTCACCTGCGTATCCTACCCTTGCCTAGTAGACATTGTACAACCAGTTGGAAAGCTACGACATCCTCCGGTTTCCTGGACACTCATAACTATGAATTGACGGTGAGAGTAACGAACGGTGCTGGTTTACAGGCTAGCATAAGTCAGCGATTCTTTGTAGATGTGACACCACCTACTCCTGGAAATGTGAACGATGGCCAATTTCGTGATCTGGTGTTTCAGAGTTGCACTTCTGAGATGAAGTCAAACTGGAATGGTTTTGCTGATGTTGGATCAGGCATCCACCATTATGAATGGGCCATTTTCCGCCGTGACAAAATACAAAGGAAACTGATTTCTCTGATGTGAATTCTACGACACGAGCAAAAGCAACGAGCCTCATCTTGAACATAGCAAAATGTATTACGTGTGCGTGAAAGCTGTGGATAATGGTAGGCTCTCAATCATCCAATGTTCGAATGGTGTAACCATTGATTCGGTTCCACCAAGCCTTGGTGAAGTAATGGATGTTGTCTTCTGGAGGTGGCATGCGGGATGTAGACTATCAAGCCAATGCAACGGTACTCCACACAAGATGGCAAGGCTTCAGCGCCCTCAGTGGAATTAGGTCGTACACTGGAGTATTGGAACAGCACCCAACAGACATAATAATTGCAGAAGTATTTCGTGGTCTGTCAACACAAGCAATTGGCTCTGGTCTTAACCTGACAAATGGAGTTCGCTACTATGCTGTGGTAAGCTGCACGAGCAAAGTCGGTCGAACAACAACTGTATCCAGTGACGGTGTAACCATCGATACAAACCCACCAGTATCCGGGCAAGTGTTCGATTTGTGCAGCGATGGTTGTGCTTCCACGGATGACGCCAACTATACATCAACTAACACACAGTTCAACCTTCGATGGGCAGGCTTACAGATGCACAGAGCGAAATTCGAAAATACTACTGGAATTATGCGTACTGCGGCCACAGCAGCCCTTCTGAACCCCAGTGATTTCGATGCTGGTAGGAATACAGAAAGCAGTGGAACTGTTGCAGTGACAACGTCTGTACGCTACTGCATGCAAGTCAGAGCAGTCAACAAAGCAGGCTTGTCTTCAGTAGCTTGGTCAGACGGTGTACTTGTGGACATCACCCCACCAAATGACTTTCTGTTAGTGGACGGCAATGACTTGGGAGACAATCATGACCATCAAAGTAGCAAATCTACACTCACAACAACTTGGTCCTGTACATTTGATGATCAATCTGGCATTCTCTATTGGACAATTAGCCCGCGGAAACATCGCCTAATGCAAGTGATACTCAAGGCATGGAAATTCTTCCAGCACCAACAACGTCGCACACATATAAAAACCTCTCCCTGACGGACCTAACAGAATACTTCATCACCGTATGTGCTGTTAATGCCGCAAACCTGTCTAAGTGTGTGTCCACAGATGGAGTACTTGTAGATACCACTGCTCGACCAAGGGAATTGTGCTTACAGGAGAGGGACTGCAGGGCCGCTTGTATCAATCTGACACCTCCAACCTAGCAGTACGTTGGTTCGGCATTTCAAGACATCCATAGGCAACATTTCCGGTTTCAAACTGGCCATCGGTACTACATCGGATCATACATCTGTCCAGCCCTTTACTGATGTTGGGCTATCTTTGTCAATGGTAATAACGAATATGAGCCTTCAGGGTGGTGAGACATACATCGTTACTGTAGAGGCCGAAAATAATGCAGGACTCACCATCCAAGCTCAAAGCATTGGAATAACAATTGACAGTACTCCACCAACCTTCGAAAATAGACCATTACTCGTGCTGAATACATCGACTGCTATTTTATCGTGGAATGGAGTGGTCGATTTAGAAAGTTCCGTATGGTATTACCGGTGGGCCATTGGTGTGTCATGTGGAGGCAACCAACTGACCCACTTTACCTTATCTGGAAATGCCACGACTTGGGCATATCTGCATGTTCCAGGGCTGGTTATTGGTCAAATATACTATGGTACTGTCATTGCTCGCAATCGTGCTGGTCAATCAAGTCAACAATGTTCTGAACCTGTGATCTATGATGGTACACCTCCAAAGATACACACGTTGTCATTGGGACTGACATTCTGCAGCACTTCCTTTACACTGATAATACTCACCGTATCCCCTGCACTCGGTCCCCGCCTATCGATCATGAAAGTAGTGTTGGCAAGTGCACTGCTGATATTATCAGCGTCAACAGCTCTGCTTTACTGGGTAGTGCAAGCGAAGATAACAATTCAACATCGCTACTTGTGTCAGCTTCACACTGCACCCAAGACAGGCGAAGCACTACAATGCAGAGTCTCTTGTCTCAATGGGTTTGGAATGTCATCTGCAAAGGTATCACCTCGACAATATTCGATGACACTCCACCAGCTTCTGCTCCATGTTCACACACAACCGTACTGGGCTAGCACAACGACACTCGATGCATCATGGAGTGCTTGCGTGGACTCAGAATCAGGCATACGTATGTATAACTGGGCTATTGGAACAACAACCTGCCCGCCACAGTATTTTGCCAAATCAACAGTCGGTTTAAATCTTGAAGCAACAGCCAGTGGCTTAACAATGGTACATCAAGGTACATACATTGTAACGGTCATGTGTACTAATAATGCAGGACTCAGGACAACCATGACATCACAGCAAATTACCATTGATACTACTGTGCCTCCACCTAGTGGAATTAGGCCAGTAACTGCTACATTCAACCAAACATTGAACAACCTTTCTGCGACATGGTCAGCTGCAACCGATGATGAGAGCGGCGATTCATATCAAGTTCTTGTCACTGCTACTAACGGGGCCGGCCTGTCAAGCTCAAACACCAGCGAATGGATTATATACGATGAGACTCCGCCATCTTCAGGATCAGTACTCGATGGACCTCTAGGCACCCACGATATGAACTACACAAACAGTACAACTTTGATCGCTCATTGGGAGACCATCACAGATCTGGATAGTGGCATAGAAGAAATTCCATTTTGCTATTGGCACAAGCCCAGGTGGAACTCAGATCTTGAACTACACCGCTGCTGGTACAAAGACTTCTGCTTCATGTGGACCACCTTTGTGTCTGATAGAGGGTGGTGGTATGGTGTACTTTACCCACAGTACGGGCTGAGAATGGCGCTGGAAAAGTCTCATGTTCACCTCAGATGGAGTTACAGTTGATAACACACCACCAATAACATCAGTCATTACACTGAACAATCAGACAACTGGTCAGGCTGTGTACTTGACTGCGAACGGTTCATTAGATG